CTACACAACACGACTACACAACATGATGTCTACACAACATGTCTACACAACATGATGTCTACACAACATGACTACACAACATGTCTACACAACATGTCTACACACACTGACTACACAACATGTCTACACAACACGACTACACAACATGTCTACACAACATGTCTACACAACATGTCTATACAACATGTCTACACAACATGACTACACACACTGACTACACAACATGTCTACACAACACGACTACACAACATGTCTACACAACATGACTACACAACACGTCAGGATGCTTCATGAGACTCACACTAACCTGCACTCTGTCGTTCAGCTTGTACTTCTGCAGCATGTTGTTCTGCAGCCTGACAAAGTCCTCGCTGAGCTCCAGGCCGAGCAGCCGAGAGGCTGAGCTGTACACGTAACCCTGGAGACACACACACACACACACACACACACACACACACACACACACACACACACACTATCATCATGAGGATTCATGTCATGATATTAACGTTCAGTGGAACTGTGATCATCTCCTGTTCTTTCAAAATAAAAGCAGCTGAGCTGACTGTGATCATCTCCTGTTCTTTCAAAATAAAAGCAGCTGAGCTGACTGTGGTAATGTCCGACTCAGTCTCGACTTTGAGGAAGATGAGTTTAAGTTAAAAGTTTAGTTTTACTCAAATAGTCTGTCCTCTACGTCTTTAAAAATATATATACATATATATTTTAGTCGTATATTGGACAGGACCGAGACTTTAGTGGTGAAGGGGGGCGGAGAGAGAAGGGGGGAGGGTAACACATGAAAGAGCCAGAGTCGGACTGGAACCCAGGCCGTGAGCGACACTGACCCCGTACAACACAGCTCCCAGTCTGGATCCAACATCCACCAGTGTTCGACCGCTCAGGTCCGGGAGGACGTTCTGGAACAGAAACTGAAGCTCCGACACTGAGAAGGAGTGAGAGAGGAAGTCTGCAGGAAGAGGAGAAGAAGAGGATGGGGGTGGGGTTAACACTACAACAGGCTGCGGGGGGGCGGGGTCTCTGTGCTGTTCACACAGGGAACATCCACACCACGTCTTTACTGTTCATACGCATCACGGTTTCTATGGAGACGCCTGCGTCCACACGCTAGGGACTTAGAGGTGGAACTGTTAAGTGACAGGAAGTGTTAAGTGACAGGAAGTGTTAAGTGACAGGAAGTGTTAAGTGACAGGAAGTGTTAAGTGACAGGAAGTGTTAGCGACGTTTTGTTTTCACCGCTGGTAGTTGAGACATGTGACTGATGAGAACCAATCAGGAAGACACAAATGTCTCTGTTGGTCCAGAGAGTTTTCTCGCCCCTGACAGGAAGACTTCACAAACGCTGCCGGCCCGTGTGCATGTGTGTGTTGTTAGTGTGCATGTCAGTGATGAGTGTCCTCACCCAGAGGTGCCGTCCTCTGAGACCCACAGCTGAGGCAGTAGGTGCGGCTCATGGTTCCCTCCTCACACAGAGCGTCCACCTGCTCGTCATCGTACAGGAAACCGTCCACGTGAACCGTGGGCTGCGGTCGCTGCTGCATCTGAAACATCAACAACATCATCGTGTGAAGTCTTCGTCACATCATTTACAGCGTCAGTGTCATCGGTCACCGACCTTCTGGTGGGCGGCGGCCTCAGAGGGTAACATGGCGTCTGGAGGCAGACTGACTCTCAGGTCGTCTGCGATGCTCCGCAGCATCACTCTCCTGTTGTCCACCAGCAGCTCGTCCAGCTCGTCTGCAGGACACACACAGAGACACACACAGAGACACAGACACACAGAGACACAGAGACACA